TCAGTGTCCCGGTAATTGCTGCCAGCACCTCTGAGGGAAAGCCGCCCTCAAGTTCCGAGTTCTGCCTGCTGCCAGACCGTCCAGTTTCTCCCTGTATGAGCCCTGGGACCCCAGAGATTTCCGGAACCGGAGTTCAGAGCAGTCGGGAGCTTGTGACTCCCTCCCGATTCAAAAAGACAGCCGCGTCCTCAGGTGCCCGCCCCTTTCCGCGCGCGCCGGAGCCTCCGTACCTCTGCACTTTACTTTCGTAGCTCCTCTGAGTCTGTGTGCTCTTCTCTTTCCTTCTAGTTGTAGAATTTCCACTCAGCCAGCCTTCCTGTGGTTCTGGATGATGACCGTTCTGTCTTTTAGTTGTATTTTTGAAGTTGTTGTCGGAGGCAGCAATTTCCGGTGTTTACCTATGCCGCCATCTTGGTTTCTCCTTTAGCAATTCATTTTAATGTTTAACAACACTCTGTCAGCAAACTTTGATTATATTTTAATCTAAATTTCTTATGCTGCAACTTAAAGTCCACATGTCCTCCCTCAGGGGAAATGGAGAACATCTGGGAATAATTCTTCATATACCTCAAGAATTGTAAAATCACTGCCTGCCACAATTTTCTTTTTGCCGAAGCCATTTATCTTGGTTCCTTTGTTTATTCAGTCTCAAGCTTTCCTTCAACTTCATTGTTCTCAAGGTCTTCTCTAGTCTCTTACATTTCCTTTTTGGTTGTGGGAGTAGTTCTCAGTCTTCATTGTACACCAGGGTCACCCTGAAGCTCAGCTAAAATACAGACTGCCAGCCCACCCCACTCCATCCCACCCCGCATTTTCTGATCAATTGAACTTGGATAGAGTCTGAGAATTTCTGTTTTTGAACAAGTTTCTCTGGGCTGTTGATTCTGCTTTTTTTCTTAGCATGGGAAGCATACTTAGAAAACTGCTGTCCTGTGGAATCCCAGCTTAGTCAGCAATCTTGGACAAGTGTGATGAGTGCAAAACTCTTTCCAGTAAAAGTAACTAATATCAAAGCAGTGTCTGCGGATCCCTGCACTACTACATTCAGGAAAAACGAGGAGGTTTCTGTCTTTGTGTTTTCCATTTCCTCTTTCTGTGTCTTTAGGGATTCTGAGAACCCACCACTGCTCTATGCTCCTGGGGATGATGAAGATAAGACTGCACTCTGCACCTTCCACTTTCTCAGAACAGTTTTTCCTTGAAAAAGTTTTACTTGTGGTCTTTGTAGAACTTTCTTTGAATTTAGCTAATAACAGTAAAAAACAACTTAATACCTTTGAATGCAGAACTTTCTGTGACAAATTTTATCTTTTAAAATATTAATGCTAAGTGACTTTAGTTTTTTACATAAAATGATGTTATAAACCCTTTTCACATGAAACAGATTGAGGTGGATTACCTCTTTCTGCTCTTCCTCTTGATTATATTTTTTCTTTCACTACCTACTTCTAACACCAAATATACTTCTCTTTGCAATATTAGTGGAGTTGATTTGAAAAATAATTTTAATAGAAATTTTAGAAGCTAATTCACAGAGATTGCTCATTTTATTTGCCTTTAGTTAAAACTCATACATTATATAAAAATATAACTATTTT